CTGCCACCCTGAGATGACAAGACCGACCGCTCCTTTACTTCCTCCTCCTTGGCCTGCTCAATGTGAAGATGGTGAGGCTGAAGACCTTTGTGATGTCCCACCTCCACTTAATGAATGGGAAATATATTTTTTCCCCCTTCCTTGTGATTTTCTTAATAACATTTTCTTGGCCGGGCATGGTGGCTCATGCCTGTAATCCCAGCACTTTGGGAGGCTGAGGCCAGATCACCTGAGGTCAGCAGTTCGAGACCAGCCTGGCCAACATGGTGAAACCCCGTCTCTACTAAAAATATAAAAATTAGCTAGGTGTGGTGGCACATGCCTGTAATCCCAGCTCCTTGGGAGGCTGAGCCAGGAGAATCACTTGAACCTGGGAAGCAGAGGTTGCAGTGAGCTGAGATCATGCCATTGCACTCCAGCCTGGGTGACAAGAGCGAAACTTCATAACAAAACAAAAAACATTTTTTTTTCTTTTTTTTGAGATGGAGTCTGGTTCTGTTGCCCAGGCTGTAGTACCGTGGCAAGATCTTGGCACTGCAACCTCTGCCTCCCAGGTTCAAGTGATTCTCCAGCCTCAGCCCCCCAAATCTGGCTAATTTTCATATTTTTAGTAGAGACGGGGTTTTGCTATGTAGGCCAGGTTGGTCCTAAACTCCTGACCGCAAATAATATTCCTGCCTTGGCCTCCCAAAGTGCTGGGATTACCGGCATGAGCCACTGCGCCTGGCCAACATTTTCTTTTCTTTAGCGTACATCACTATAAGAATACAGTATATGATACATATACAAAATACGTGTTAATGGACTTTTATCAGTAAGGCTCCCAGTCAACGGTAGGCTATTAGGAGTTAAGTTTGAGGGAGGTCAAAAGTTATACAGTATGTGGATTTTCAACTGCATGGCCAGGGGCTTGGGGAGCTGGGTGTTCCTAACTCCTGTGTTGAACAACCAAACAAGAAACAATATCATGTACAACCCAAAGAAGGGAGAAGGGAGAAGCAAGGAATAAAGAGTGTATACAGTTTTCATTTTTGCACCATGTGAATGGAATACTTATTCAAAGATAAAAAGTAAAAATAGGGCCAGGTGTGGTGGCTCACGCATGTAATCCCAGCACTTTGGGAGGTCAAGGCAGGCAGATCATGAGGTCAGGTGTTCGAGACTAGCCTGGTCAATATGGAGAAACCCCGTCTCTACTAAAAATATAAAACATTAGCCAGTCATGGTAGTGGGCACCTGTAATCCCAGCTATTCAGGAGGCTGAGGCAGGAGAATCACTTGAACCCGGGAGATGGAGGTTGCAAGGAGCTGAAATGGCGCCATTGCACTCCAGCCTGCACAACAGAGCGAGACTCTGTCTCAACAACAACAAAAAGTAAAAATAACAGAGGTTTTTCAAAGAAAGAAAATATACCAGAACTTAATGTTTTCAGTTTGAAAGGGCCCACTGTGTGTCTGGTACAGCAGATGAAAACAGAACTATACCAAGGCACACTGTTATAAAATGTGGAGTGTGAGGACCAAGAAAATTTCCAGAAATGGAGGAAAGATCTAGTTTCAAAGTGGTTCTAGATTTCTGTACTTCTGGAAGACAGGAGGCAATGGCACATGCCTATATAATTCTGAGAGAAAAGTATTTCCTGTCTAAAATTCTATATTTAACCAAACCATCAAATTCAGTTTGAGGGTAAAATATCTATTTTGACATGCAAGTTCTCAAAACATTTACCTTCTCCACAGCCTTTATTTGAAAACTATCGGGGATGTGTTTCCCCAAGAAAGAAGGAAGATCAGAAACTCAGAGAACCACGCATAGTGGCGAAGGGAGTTCCCAGGGCAGTGGTGACAGACCTGGGGATGACGGCTGTGTGGCAGGTTGGGGCAGTGGTAGATCAGAGCAGGCCAGACGGCCTGACCTCCTGGCTTGCTTAGGAAGATGAACTGTGAGAAGAACTCATCAAATTTCTTGAAAGTAGTTTTATATACGTGGTCAAGAGTTTAGGGTTCAGTCGCTGAGAGGAACACAGAAAACTAAGAATATGGAAAAACATGGTAATTATTAACTCCAGAGGTAAAATGTTTTGAAGAAAAACAAAAATAATCATAACCAACCATGTCTCACCTGTGAATATATTAGTATAATGAGGCAAATGGTATACAAGGCTTTTGACTGACCCAAATTATGATCTGTATTGGTAAGATGAGTAGAAAGGAAAGATGCAGGTGGAGGAAGGACAGCAAAAAGGAAAGAATGAAATATTCACTGTAGACAACGCCTAAATCTGCAAAATCAAGAAATAGCAACATAGGTTTAATTTAGAAACATGGAGGGGGATAAAGAGGTTTCCCTGGATAAGAGGCTGGAAAGGGGGAGGTTGATTGTCAAAAACGGAGAGATCTGAGTTTTTACCCTACTTACAAGCTAACAAGCCAGCATGCCACACTTCACAGTTTCGTGGATGCTGGTGGAAGACACAGGATTCTTGCATCAAAGGCAAAGATGTTTATTATGCACAGCAGCAGTAGAGCATGAACATTTTTGTTCCCTGAATCCCAGTTCTCACAGGGAGATGCAGAGAGGGCCAGCGGAAGCCTGTACAAGTGGGTTACTTTACAGGAGAGGAAGCATGAGCTCAGGGAATCTTAAGTTTTATAATGGGCAGTAAGTGCACCCGAGGAGGAAGGTGCTATCTCTCCCAAGCCTGTCTGCAATATAAACAGCCTTTAAAAGACGTAAGGGACAAAGCAGGGCAGTCAGTGCCTCACTCACAAGAGGAGCAGCAACGCCAGGGACCTATAGAGCACGGATTCCCAGCGCTGCGGTTTTACATAATCAACCTTCTTGATTTTTAAAAGTATCTGCATACGTAACTTTCCTAAAAATAAAAATCTAAAAAGTTAAATCGTTTCACTTACTAAAACAACTGTCTCATGCCTTACTCCTCCTGACTGTGCATCATGTCTTTGCCAAAGGAGACCCAGAGTCCGGGTAAACCCGAAAACGCAACCTCAGCTTTCCTGACTCCTCATGCAGGGTGAGCTGGTCCGCAGGAAGGGCTGTCCCAATCCCAGCGCCTCGGGGCCAGAGCGAGGTGGGGAGGCTCCCCACGGCCCTAAGCGGGTTGCCCACGCGGCGCGTTGCAGGCAGGTGCGAACCACGTGCGGTAAGTGCCCGGAGCAGCTCTTTGGTAGTTAAGTGTTAATTACAATTACCCGCAGGTGAGTGGAGCCCCGTTGACAATCTAGAAACAAGCCAACAGACCCTCTGATGTACCTAGCGGGCCCCGCCTCTCCGCATGGCCCGCTGCGCCCCGGTCCCCGGAGGCCACCCTTGTGGGCAAGGGCTGCTGCTCGGTTGTGCCCCTGGGATCCTCCGGCCTGGCACAGCCGGTGCTGGAGCTGAAGTGCGCGCCTCGGCCCCTTCGCCACTCCCGCCCCTCTCAGATGCGCACGGGCGCTCGGGGCGCCGTGGGCCCGCGTGTCCAGCCAGCCCCTGCCCTGCCTGGTGCTTGGACCACCACTTCCACCTTTGCCGCCCCCACGGCGGCCTCCGCAGCTTCCCGATGGGCGGGTCTGCGCGCCTATCTTTGCCACTGCCGGAGGGCGCGGAGGAGGGGGCCCCCAGCCGTGCAGATCCCGCTTATCGGGCCCATCTCGCGTTATATAAGGCCGCCCCACTATCTCCACGGGCCATCGCCACCGCAACCGCCGCGCCAGCGCCTTCTCCCATGCGCGGGGGCGCGCCTGCCCACCGCTCCTGGCAGGGCTTTTGGTGGCCGTGGGGAACAGGGGGGCGTTGACTCACCCGGGCTCTGGGAGTTGCACAGCCCAAGGTGGATCCCCCATCACAGAGACCCTATGGGAGATCCCATGGGCTCTCTACTACAGATAAGAAAGCTGAGGCCTGCAGAGGGGTCACACAGCCAAGTAGTGGCAGTCCAAGCATGGGTGCCCTCGAAAGGAAGGGGCAGGCTCTGCGAGTCAGGGCCAGCAGCTGGGCTGGGAAGCTTCAAGTGTGGACAGAGAGAGGGTGGGAATGATGTTCCGTGTGGGAAGAGAGGGTGGTCAAGGCTGGGGTGCCCCTGAGTGGGCATCCAGCATCCCCTGTGACAAGGGTCACAAGCACACCCTGTGAGGAGGTTGAGCCACATTGAGGACAGAACAGAGGGAGCCTGAGCAGGCAAAGAGGGGAGCTGAAAGGGGAGGCGCTGGCTGGGGAAGGAAGTGGGTAAGGGAGAGATCTTGACATCAGCACTCAGCAGGCAAATGCTGTGGCCTGTGTTGTGGGGGTTTCTGGAGGACTTCCAGGAAAATGAGGGAAGAGCAGGAAAAGGCCACATGCCTGCAGGGTGGGCTGCAGGGGCCAGGCCCAGGAGCTGCCCTCCACAGCACTCATTCTGCAGAAAGGAAACTGGAGGCTTCCAGAGGGCAGGGGCTGGTCCTGCAGAGACTGGTGGGCAAACGGGATCACCCCAAGTCCCAGTGGCACTAGGAACACTTAGAATCTCTGACCTGGACTAAGGTTGCCAGCCTGGCCCAGTTAAAAGTTTCCCAGCAGGATGGCCCATGCACTTTAAATTAAAGGGGCAGACACAGGTGCACACTACTCCCAGCCACTCTGGAGGCTGAGGTGGTGGGATCGCCTGAGTCCGGGAGCTGGAAGCCAGCCTAGGCAGCCAACATAGTGAGACCCCATCTTCAAAAAACAAAGAAACAAATGGAAAACACCAAAAAAAAAGGTCCCAGGAGGACCTCTGAATCTGTCTGGATCTCTCAGTGGAGACCTGGAAATCTGAACTTTGACAATCCTTCTCACAGTAGGACCAAGGAGGAACTAGGCAAGCCAAAAGAAGTGAACTTCACTCTTCTATTGCCTGCTTGAATTTTGTATCCAAGCAAGTATCACTTAGGTAATTTAGAAGACTGGTTCATTGAAAAAATAAAACCCCCCAAATTCCCACAGCTGGTAGACTGTGGTCACAGCCACAGTGCATGAAGACTATCTGCCCAGCACTTCCGGTGACCCAAAACAGTCTGAGGACAGGAGCTCAGAGTTGGATCAGCTATCCAGGTTCTCAGGGTGGTCCCAAGCAAAACTGCTGGAACTCAGGCCAGCATTGCAGATGCCAAGCTGCTCTCAGGGCCCCTTGTCTCTCCCCAGAATTAAACCCACCCAGATCTTGGAAACTCTGCCCTGGACCCTTCTCAATAAGTCCACGAGAAATCACTTTCCTTTATGCGACACTGGATTTTCCACAAAGCAAAATCAAGATCAGTAAAGATGTGGTTTCTAGATACTGCCTAAAAATGCAGAGACCGGGCTATGAGGCGTCACCACTGGGCCTATAAAAGCTGCCACAAGAGGCCAAGGCCACAAGCCACCCAGCTTAGACCAGCCTGTGCGTCTGCTCCTCAATCCTCCCTTGTTGGCACTGGGCCTCATGGCGCTTTGGTTGACCATGGTCATTGCTCTCACTTGCCTTGGCGGCCTTGCCTCCCCAGGCCCCGTGCCTCCCTATACAGCCCTCAAGGAGCTCATTGAAGAGCTGGTCAACATCACTCAGAACCAGAAGGTGAGTGTCAGCCAGCCAGGGTCCTAGCTATAAGGACTCCAGGGTGGGTGGTTCCCAAGATGGGGTCATGAGCAGGCTGGGCCTGGTCCTAGGATGCCTGTAGGTCAGGTATAATCCCCATGGACCAGGACCCGGCCCAGCCATGAGGGAGAGAGGGGTTTAGCACTGTGGATGGACCTATGACGGGGTTTGGCAGAGTCTTGAGGGACCACCTGTTCTGGCCTGGCCCTGCCTCCCACTGCCAGCTCCTCCTCAGCCATTCCTGAACAGAGGACAGCAGAGAAGGGCCAGCACCCTCCCAGAACCATGTGGCATTTGCCAACTGGATTTTGAACACAACAATGCAGCCATGTTCCCCAGCACTGTAGTATGCTCGCTCTTATAGGAGGATCCTTTAGTAGAGTCCGAGCCTTGCCCCACTGGTAACAGCTCACATGTCTGAGCATTGCTTACGCCAGGCCTGGTGCAAATGCTTTACATGTCATTTCAGCACCGCCAGCCACTTCAAGAGGCAGGTACAATGAACCCATTCTGCTAAGGTGCCGTGAGGTTAAGTGACAGAGGCTGGATTTAAGCCAGGCCTGGCCAACACCAGAGTGCCCATGTTCCTAACTGCAGAAGGCAGGGCATTTAATGTAACAGACCCCTACTACCTCCCATCTGATATGTCCTGGTCCACAGTGACCCAGGCCATCCCTACTTTACTCATCCCCACCCTGACCCTTCCCACAGGCCCCTGTCCTCCTGCCCTGGCTATGGCAAGCCTCACATGCAGCTTGTCCCTTACTAGTGGTGTCACTCATTTTTTTTCTCTCAGCTCCAAGACCCTATATAATGGGTCCCTGCCCCCACGCCCACTGTTCAAAGCAGAAAACGAAGCTCAGGAACGCTGAGGGGCTGCCAGGCCTGCCTCTGCGCCACACCAGGGATGCGTGTGGGGCCTGAGCTGGTATAGACTTGGCCTGGGCTGCCGCAGCAGGCCCATGACCCCTGCCAGCACTCTGCTCACTGTCACTTTCCTCCCGCAGGCCCCCCTCTGCAATGGCAGCATGGTGTGGAGCATCAACATGACAGCTGGTGTGGTAAGGACCCTTGGGTGCTGGGGAGGACGGGGCAGAGGCCTCAGGCCTTGGGCTTATCTTCTCTGAGCCTCCCTCCCATGGCTGGGGGTTCCAAGGAAGCTTCAACTACGCTCCTCCCTTCCCCCATAATCTAGGCCCTTCCCACCACCCAGACTCACCCGCACCAGGCATGTCAGCCCCATATTCCTGCAAACTCACAAAAGGTAGCCACTCAAGCAGGCCCTGACTCCTGGGTGTCCCCTTCCCACAGTACTGTGCAGCCCTGGAGTCCCTGATCAACGTGTCCAGGTGCAGTGCCATCGAGAAGACCCAGAGGATGCTGAGTGGATTCTGCCCACACAAGGTCTCAGCCGGGGTAAGGCTCCCCCCAACCTGCACCCCTTCCCGCCAACCCTGGCCTCACCCAGGGGAAGCTGGCTGAACATCCAAGGTGTGTGTCCACCCAGGGGTGGGGCCATTGTGGCAGCAGGGACATGGCTTTGGGATTTACAGGACCTGGGCTCAAGGGCCTGATGCCTACCTAGGCCTCAATTTCCACAGTAGAGATACTAACAGTACCCACCTCCTAGGGACTTCCTCGAGGACTGAATGAGACAGTCCCTGGGAAAGCCCCTAGTTTGTGTGGGTCATCCCAGTCTCCGGCGTCTCACTCATGCACTGGCCTCTTTGTCCTGCAGCAGTTTTCCAGCTTGCTTGTCCAAGACACCAAAATCGAAGTGGCCCAGTTTGTAAAGGACCTGCTCAGACACTTAAGGAAACTTTTTCACCAGGGAAAGTTCAACTGAAACATCGAAAGCATCATTACTTGCAGAGACAGGACCTGACTATTGAAGTTGCAGATTCATTTTTATTTCTGATGTCAAATGTCTTGGGGAGGTGGGGAGGAGGGTTAAGGAGGGGGTAAAATTCCTTAGCTTAGATCTCAGCCTGTGCTGCCTGTCTTCAGCCTTGCCAACCCCAGGCTGCCCCTTGCCCAGGGCCCTGAGCTCAGTGGACCTGGGGATGATGTTTCCCTACACCCTCCCCTTCCCTAGAGCACACTGCAGCATTACAGTGGGTCCCCCCTTGCCAGACGTGGTAAGAGAGGGACCCACTTCACACAGTGGCAACTGAGGCAGCCAGCAGCTCAGGCACATTTATTCTTGGTCTTATTTATTATTGTGTGTTATTTAAATGAGTGTGTTTGTCCACGTTGGAGATCGAGAGACTGTGGCTGTTGGCACTTGAAACCAAGGGTTTGTAGACTCGGGGCCCAGCACTAAAGCAGTGGGCACCAGGAATCCCTGGTAATAAGTACTGTGTACAGAATTCTGCTACCTCACTGGGGTCCCGGGGCCTCATCCGAGGCAGGGTCAGAAGAGGCAGGGGAACAGCCACTCCTGTCTTCCAGCCAGCAGCCAGCTCTCAGCCAATGAGTAATTTATTGTTTTTCCTTGTATTTAAATATTACATATGTTAGCAAAGAGTTAATAATATATAGAAGGGTACCTTCAACACCCAAGGTGGTGTGTGTACACTAGGGGGAGGGGACATTGAACAAGTTGTTTCATTGACTATCAAACTGAAGCCAGAAATAAAGTTGGTGACAAATAGGCCCGATTGTATGTCTTTCATTTTGGCCTTTGGGGACGGTGGTCTGTGGTCTCAAGACTCTGAGGGGATCTTCAGGAGGCTGGCAGGTTGGAGGAGAGGACTCGGATGGATTTCAGCGGGGATGGGGTGTAGTGACCTGGGCTGAGAGCAGAGCTAGCTCCTGGTGGTGGGGACATGGCCTGGAGGAAGTGCCACCTCTGTCTGCTGTGCCAGCGAGGACGGGGAGGCTTGGGCAGGCTGTCAGGGTTCAAGGAGGGCATCAGGAGCAGGTGGGGACCCAGGAAGTCTCACGATCACAGCTCCTGAGGACTGGCCTGGCACTACCCACACATTCATGTCTCCCTCACAACCCGGGAGGCCGATGAGGACTGTGAGTCTCAGAGACCGTGGGCGGTTTGCCTAAGGTCACGTAGCTACTTCCTCACTGGGGTCCTGGGGCCTCAGAGCCTCATCTGAGGTAAAGGAGCAATGCCGAGATTATGACCCCAAACTGGCTCCAACTCCAAAGCCCACACGCTTAACCACCCTGCCTATTTCTGTCCAAATGTTCCCTGGCCTGAATGCAGTTTTTCCCTCTGTAAGACTGTCATCAACTGTCTGGGCCCTCTCACTGACGTGGAGCTCACTACCTATTTTTGAGGGGCAACCCATTGCATTTCTGGATAGCTCTCGCCATTAGGGTGCACACTGGTGCCGCCTCTGTGAACGGGGCCCTGACTAGGCCACTCCTCAGCAGCTCTTGTTGCCTCCCCTTGGCCCTGGCCAGCAGCTGGAGTGCAGGGACCAGTGGGCCTTACCAAGCCACAGTTCCAGGCCATGCCCATCAGCAACGCTTTCCACTGTGACTGTCTGGGAGATGCCCAGGGCAGAGGGTGACTCCAGGATGGGATGCCTTTGCAGTGGGTGGTGGGTCAGCAGGGACCAGTCTCAAACTTGGAATGACAGGCAGGCACCCTCTCTGGGGAGCCCAGAGCCCCATGGGAGCACGACAGGGATGCCCAGAAGTCCCTGAAGGCAGCCGCCCTCCACTGTTCATGGCTGTGTCATTCGTGTAACAGCAGAGGACATGGCAGGGAGTCGGCCAAGGGGCTGAAGACGGTGGCTAGCTACTCCAGAACCACTCACTTTCCCCATGGAGAGGCGAGGGAAGAAGGTGAACCCGACAGTGCAGGGGCAGGGGACACTTGGCCCAGGGAAAAGAAGACTGTGGCGGTGAAGAGGGTGGTGGTACAGAAGCTGGGTCTCCAGCAGGCTGTCCCGGCAGGGGACAGGACTGGCTCTCTGGTGCCAAGCCTATGAAGTCCCGCCACATTTGCTGAGGGAATACCTGTGGGGGCCACTGCAGCAGACACCTGGGCTAGTGACAACCAAGATACCACATGCTCTCAAGGGTTAGCCCCAGAAAGAACTCTGTGGAAACAACAGAGGGTCTGTGTGTAGAGCGGGCGGGGGGTTGTTTGTCCTCCCTCAGGAGGGCCTCCCTCTGGAGGTGAGCAGTGGCTGGCCTCCATGGAGGACGGGAGAGTCTCGGAAGCCAGGGAAGGCGGTGGGAGTCAGGGTCTTTCTTCTCCATCCAGGGCCTAGGGTTGAAGGCTGAAAGGATATTTATGGAGAGCATGACTTTGTCAACAGGACCCAGCAATCCATCCCCTAGTAGCATCATCTTTGACCCACGTCCTCTCTGTCCAACCAAAGCATTGCCCTACCTATCTAGAAAGAAGATGGAAACCCTTCCAGTGGAATTCCACGTGACTCCCTCGAAAACAAAGACTGGAATTGAGGCTGATGTGGGGCAGGGTTCCTCGGGATCCTCCAAGGCCGGGCTCTGAGCCACACATTCAGGACAGCCTGCGAGGCAGGTGCACAGTGCGGACGGCCGTCCCAGGCCCCGCCACTAGGGGTCTGCAGCTCACCACGTCCTCAGCCACTCCACAGCTCCTGTCCCTCACACCTTCCAGGCAGGGGACCTGTGGTCATTGGCAGTGTGCCCTGAGCTGGAGAGGGTGTGGGGCCCTCCAGGGATGAGGGACGCCTCACAGAGTCACATAACTGAGCTGCAGCTAGTGGCCACAGGGAGGGGACCCAGTCAGGAATGAGAAAGGAAGAGAGAACAAGGTAGGGTTAAGTGTCAGCGATTGTGACAGTGGCTGGGAAGCTGGCTCCCTGGGGACTGACCCCCAGCGGTGTTTGCTGGGACTTTTCTCTAACCATGTGGCCTGAGTTCTTTCATCCACAAGGCAAGCCCTTATCAGGGCTCAGAGAGAAGGGGGTTGAGAAGAGAGAATAATGCTTGGTGAGTAGGAGGAAGACACTGGCCATGGGGCCCAGGGCGGGGAGCCCCTTGGCACCCCAGGAACCCCAGCCCAAGAGGTTTCACTGGAAGAGGGGCTGGGGCTTTTGTGAGAAGTGAGACACACACAAGTTTCCGGTGAACTCCGCACCAAACACCTCAGTTTGCTGCGCAAATGAGTTGTCAGAAAATGTTCCCAGTCACTTGGCAGGTTTCTCCGAGGCTGGCCTAGGAGGACCAGGCCAGAATCTTATTTCCTTGTGACCAGGGCAGCACTTGAAGCCTGGCCTTCTCCTGGCCCAGAGACGTAACACCTTTTCATTATGGTCAAAGGGAAATGTCTTCCGTTTATGACCTTCATCTAGCTGGCCCACGGTAACACACTCCAAACCTGTTCCCAGCCTCGCCTGCTTCCCTTCTAAGAAGGCCTGGCCGGGGCAGCCTGACTGCATTCCAGACAGGACAGCCTGGCTGGGGACATGCTGGCTGGCTCCTCTGTAGCCTTTCTGGGGGTCCAAGCTGGGGTCAGAACTGCTGGCTGTCTCCACAGCTGTCCCCCCACACTCACAAAGCCCCATTATCTTCATTCGGTTCTCAGCTCCACCCAAAAGCAAGAGGGCAAGGGTTTGCAACAAACTTTCCCAATCAACTGATTTCTCGGCAGCAAGGGAGGGCCCCATGACAAAGCCATTTGAAATCCCAGAAGCAATTTTCTACTTACGACCTCACTTTCTGTTGCTGTCTCTCCCTTCCCCTCCACAGTACCTTTTCTCGTAGAAAGTGATTCTCTCACAGCATCATTCAGAAACACCCCCAGCCGTGTGCTGCGTGCCTGGGCAGATGCTGCTCTGTGGTCAGAGGTGACGCAGGCACCAAAATTAAATATAGCAACTCTCATCAGCTCCCTTGTCTGCATCACTATGGACAAGTGTGTGGGGGCTGGACACCACTCCCCCAACCTCTCAAGTGAGGAAGGCCCCAGTCAGCCATGGTGTCACCTGGAGACCCGCAGCCCGATGGCCTGTTGACCATACTGTCCACGACTCCCTCCCCAGACCACAGCCCTGGGCCAGCTGTGGTGATGCCACATTGGAAAAAGCAATTTTTATTTACTCTTCTTTCTTCTAATCTGTTTCACATATTTTCTATAATTAGCATGCATTCATTTTTCCAATGGGAGACAAATTTCATTTTAAAAAAGCAAAAAGAACACGAATGTGATGTCTGCTCCACGGAGGGAGCAGACCGAGACAGGCCGGTGCGGAGGCTGGACCAGCACCAGCACCCCTCAGACTAGCCTAAGTCCTCCCTGGAGAGCCGGCCCTCTCGGGCGAGGAGGGGAGTCTACAAGGCCTGCAAGGCAGCCCCTCAGCCAGGCAGGCCTGGCATTGCTCCTCCCATGGGCTGGATGCTCTTGGACCCATCAGATCCTGCGCTGCCAAAGACAGGAAGGTGCTGTCTTCTTGGAGGCCTTTGCCAGGCCCTGGACTGCCAGGGTACAGGAGCCAGTGGGAGTGGGAAGGGAAAGGGTGGGCCGCCTGTCTAGCTCTGAGGCTGAAGTGACATCCACACTATGGAGACAAATGGAGCATTCCTGCAGCCTCCTCAGCAGCTCTGCCTCTCTTGGAAGAAGGACATTCCACCTGCTTCTGAAAGGCAAGAGAAGCCAGCAGCCTGCAGAGCCGCTGCCACACAGCTCCACAAAGCTGGAGTCTATGCCACTGCCTGCCTGCCGCAGCTCCCTCTGCCCTCGGTTCCTGTGCCCTTGGATGGGGCCCTCCATGTGTCTGTGCTCTGGGTCCCATTCCCTCCCCTCTCAGGAACACAGGCAGCACATACAGCTGGGGGCTCAGGGTGAAACCACCTCTACCTTCAAGCCCCAGCTGTGTCCCTGACTTCTAGTGTTGTTACTTCAGCCTAGTCTCATTGGCTCCGTGGAAATGGAGCTCTACTCATTCATTCAGCAAGTATGGATTGATGCCTTGCCTCAGTGCCACTAACCAAACCAAGGTTGCTTCTAGCAGGGGGACAGAGTAAGCCAACAAGAGAACACCCAGTGTGTCAGGCAGTGGTAACCACCACCGAGGTCAAGAGCAATCGGGGCTGCACGGCAGGGAGGGCACTGTATTATGCGGGAGGTTGGAGAAATCCTCCCCTTGAGAACAGAGATCTGGATGAAACAAGGGGAGGGGACAGCCATGCACAGATGGGGGCAAAGTTATCCAGGGAAAGGGAACTGCAGGTGCTAAAGTCTTGAGCAAGAGCGAGCTGGGGTTGTCCTTCTCAGCACTCATGGGTGGCCGGCGGGCTGGAGCAGAAGCCGCGGCAAGGGCAGCAGGAGCCCAGCAGGGCCTCAGAGGACAGGACTGGGCTTCACCCTACGTGGGATGGAGTAATGTGGTCTAGCTCACATGTTAACAAAGTCACCGTGGCTGCTGCGAGGAGAACCTTGCTGGTAGGGGCAAGGATGGAGCAGCAGGATGAGCGTGGAGGCTCCTGTAGAGATGCTGGTGGACAGCGATGGCGTGTGGGGCAGTGGAGGGGAGAGGTGCTGGCCAACTGGAGAGGGCATGCGTGGAAGAGATATGTACACATTATATGGGTACTATATTTATCATTTACTTAAACAGAATATTATATAATCTATAAAGTATGTAAATGTATAACACACAAATGTGCATATATTATATGTTAATATTATTTAAAT